AGTTCTATGAGTTTAGTTCTCAACTCGCATTTTAGTAGATTATAGTTTTAAGAGAATTCTAAGGAATCTCTCTTGTATAATAAATCTTGATTAAGATCTATTAATTCATCTTATTAATAAACTGAATATTACAACTGTCTTGAAATTATATATTGGAATTGGGCTACATTCTAACTAGTTACAACAAGAATACTATCATTACCTACCTTTAGATTAATCTTAAAATAATAATAGAAATATTCTTGTTAATAAATCTTTTAAAGACTCTCACAAATAATACTTTAAGTATGTGATCACTTTTATCACGTGCTTTTGTAATATTAGATTTAATACTCACCCTCACCTCAGAACTCGTACCAAAAAGATAACAACTTTTTGATATCCCCTCTGTGGAAAAACAATTCCATAGAATTACCAAATTCAAGCCAGATTTAGATAAAGAATCCTCTGTGAATTAAAATTGAAATCAGTAGAGAATCAAAGATAATTGAAGAAATAATTTTGCAACTTACCCAAAGTAAATCTAACCAAAGAAACCAAAGTAGAAAGAGAAAGACTCTTCACTCAACTGTTTACTGAATTACCTTTTGAAGATTATACTGAATCAGATTATCAAACCATCTAAGATAAATTTTATCACTTTCATTAAGAAGTAATATATGATAAAACCCAAACTAACAGTATTGGCCTATGACCTATTATGACCTCTATGACCTATATGACCAGTCATAGGTCATAAGGTCATAAAAATAGTCGTATAACCTATGATCTTGGTCATAATTCTATCCAATAGAAATTATGAAATGGTTGGCCAATAAAAAATTACGATATGATTAACTAATAGAAAATTATGACATGATTAACCAATAGAAATTATGCAAAAAAAAATTAGTCTAAGTAGATTTTCAAAGAAACAAAAGAGAGCTTTTTATGAAGATTATGAATACCTTATGATACTGTTACTATAATTATATTACTAAGAAAGTTTTTATTTGGTAGAGAATAAATAGAGGTCTGAATTTAACCTCTTTACAAACTATTAATGATAATAGTAAGTTTGCTTGATCTTAAAGTGATGTTTGCTTAGAATTATTTGTATGGAGAAGATTTATCGATTTTGTATAACACTGTAGACTTTTTGCTAAACTTTGTAGTGGTCAAGTCAGGTACTTGTTCAATTTTTTCTATGTTTCCGTTTGGTGAGATGACGCATAAGAACAGTCTTGTTGATGGCTAAAAGTCTAGACATATAGTTGCTATTTCATGGATTAGTCTAGATCACTATGAAAATAATAAAGACTTTTAATTTGATTAATTTATTCATAATTATTCTATTGTTATAGAAATATTAAGATGGTCTCTTGTTGGATCCATTCTATGAGGAATCATTAGATAAAAAGTTCAAATAATTACAAAGCCAGGAAAGCATGATGAAACTGTACAAAAATAATACTAATCAGAAAAGGTTGTAAGTAAGTATTTTATATAAATTATTTTCTAATTCCATTTTATTAGTATTAAAGAATTACTAAATCTGATTCCAATACTTATAATATCAAATACCTCTTCTTATCTTGTGCTTTACTATAATATTGTTACAGTAAACTCTGAATCAAAATATATCGGTATTTCTAAAGAAGAAATAAAAAGTGAATCTAAAGATCATTTGGCTCTTTCATCATCAGCAGGATGTTTTTCTCATCCTCCTAAACTAAAATCTGTATTTCAATCACTCAACAACAAAATTTTATCTTCCTGATTTTCAAATTGGTTTTCATGATTTCCAAACTCTATCCACTCTTGAATTAGATTTTCCCATCTTTATTCTTCTTCTGTAATCAAATCTTCATTTTCTTCAGAGTTTTGATTTATTTGATCATAAGATCCGGCACTTGTTCCCTCTCCAAAATTATCTTTATTGTCATTACTCACTTGATAATCAAAACCAGTGGTAGTTGATTCATGTTCTATAGTTTCGTCTGGTAGTATAGGTATCGCAATATATAATTGGCAAATTTGATTATCATATTCTTTTGCATTTTTTATTTTGCAAGAACAAAGAATATCACTCTGAATTTGGCTCATTGCCAAGACTTTTTTTTGCTATAATATTAATTATAATAAATGTAAATATAAAATGAACAAAAATAAATTATTGATAATTGATAAACAAACCTGCAATTAATTTCGCTAGTTAGTATGCAATAACTCCATACAAGATCACAAATGTTTTACAGATGCAGAGTTAATACAAATACTGTGAACACGAATTGCTGCTCATGTTAATTCTGGACTGACTCCTTCAGTTGATTTCCAAAAATCTACCAAATTTTCATTAAATTACATAAATAATTTGCTATCATATGGATCAATTCCTTGCTTGTACTATATTAATTCAACTAAAATAGAAACAGGTTTAGAATTAAACCATGCTTCATAATAATACTTAAGCCATTATCTAATATGAGTTCATGTTAGATTAGCAATCGTATTATTAAATTTAATGAGTTTATATTGAGGATATAGTACAAAAGAAAGAAGCATTAATGGTTGTTCCTATTCTTTCTAATATGATCCAATACGCATTATCATTCTTGATCCAAATTTAACATCTTGATAAGATTCAAATATCTTCATCATGTACCCAAAATAATGAACAACTTCATATAGTCAGGCTATATCTTTTTGTAACTTGTTCAAAAAATTACAAAGAGAATACAAAAGTTCTTGTAGATTAAATAATGTCATCCAAAATTGAGTATCATTTATGATATCTGCAATATTATCTGAAAGTTTTCGAGTACTGTTGCGTAGTGTTGATTGATTATTAGCTAATATAGATGAGATACCATCTATTCGAATTACATTGATATGATTGTCATTAAACTTAGCTGAAAGAAACTAATAAATAAAAATAATAGATTAAAAATTGGTTTGACATATTAAATAATTAGATTGTTTAATAACGAAAATTAAATAATATTATCTTGAAAGCAGATTTTGACTTTAATATAGAATAAAAACAAAAATAATATGAATTCCATCTCGTATCTCCAGGTGTAATTAATGCAATCATCTTATTATAAATTCACATTTGTTCATCTCTAAGATTTCTCATAAAAAAAACTGATTTGTGAAAAAAACTAACTATTCGTATTGCTTCTTTGAAGATTTTTTGATATAGCATTAATTCTTTGAAGATTTCACCAAATATCAAATTTATTTGATGGGTCATACAGAGTAAAAAAATCTTAGAAGGATATTTTTTTTACAATTATTGACTACAAAAATTAAAGTGTAAATAAAAAAAATAAAAAAAATATAAAATAATAAAAAAATTACTGTGTTGCTGCATATTCACCAGCTGAATTTAAAACAAATATCTTGATATTTATTTGTTTTTCTTCAGCTTCAGTTATTAATTATTCAATATGATTAATTATATTTTGTGTTTGTGATCTTTCTGAACTAATATCATGTGCATTCCATATTAAAGATTGTCCACTTGTAGTTATAAAAATTACACCCCAAATGTGTTCTTGTTTTACATTAGTCCAACCATCAAATGTTGCAGTTACTCCATCCATATTGTTTTTAGCAACTTTGATTATATTATCTTGCAATGATTGTGTACTTTTCATTAACACTTTGTCACTAATGATTTTGCACTTTGGTAATTTGAGTCCTGGTGCCAAAAATTCAAATACAGTAATAATATCTTTATTTTCAACAAACATAAAAGGCAGAGCATTAGAAATAATCATTCTTAATAGTAATTATTCAAACCGTATTTGATCATTAGCTGAAAGAGATCGGCAAAAAAAATTCATAATTGCTGTTTGTCAGCTAGACAACTGTATTGAGTTTGTTGAACTGACTAGTGAATTTACTGATAGTATAGAATTTGTTTGAATTAATGCTTTATCATTACTACTATTAGATTTTTCGTCTATATTAAATAATTTAAAATTATTAAACATGATAATACAAATATAATACACTTAAAATTTAACATACCATCTATTTCATTATTATTTTTTTTCATTTTTTTCTTTTATCTTCTGGTACTGATAAAACCAAAATTTTTTGTACTTCTTCTTCTGTATTAGCTTCATGAAAAGCTTCACATTTTGATAAATAATTATGGTACAGACGAGCTCTGTTAATAGTATAACATTCTGGTTTTAATTGAGCTGCTCCTAATCCACCATATTTGCTTATATATCAGTTGCATATTACAAGAGCATTTGTAGGGTTGTTTGGATTTTTTATTAAAGTAAAAAATCTTCTAAAGTTATGGGAAGACATAATAAAATGAAACAAAAAAATTAAAAAAATTTTAAATTTTGATTGGATAGAATTTATGACCTATGACATTTAATCATATAATCTTGGTTATATCGATCATATGACCTAGAGTCATAATTTTATGATCTTATGATCTTATGACCTAGGTCATATGCTCATATGATCAAGATCATATTGCAAATATGTTATGACTTAGGTCATAAGCCAACACTATAAACCAAGGCAAGAGAAGAATTTGCAACTTTAATAGAAAAGGAACTTGATCTATCAACAGAACAAGTACAGATATATCTCTACAAACTATAACAAGAAATATTTGAGTTTAAAGAAAAGAAAACTAAATACCTGACAGAATATAGGCAAAGAAAGCAATAAGACATACCTGTAGAAGTATCTAATCCAAGTCAGTCAAAGTCAAACAAAGAATTATTAGACACTCTACAACAGTTTGGAAAATATAATTCAGATACTCTTGAACAAATATTAGCGCAATCACCACTTAATAAATATTTAGAAACACAATCAATCACTCAAGACATATCTATTACTTCAACTTTTATTTTGTCAACATTACTTGAAGAAGAAGAAATGAGTAGAGATAAGAAGAATAAGACATTGTCTTCATCAACTACTAATCATAGATTTGAAGATTTAATGCATAGGATTGGAGCACTTGCTGTAGCTCTAGGAGGACCAAAGGAAGCCAATTATACCAAAATTATAGAATTTTATGGTGATACTCAAGATCCAATTGGTTGATTTCAAGATTTTGAAAATGCTTATGTTGCTAATAGCATTAGTAATAATAGAAAAATTCTGATAGTAGATGCTTATCTGAAAGGCTCAGCAACTACATGGTATGCTAATGAAAAATTACAAGATTCAGAATGGTCAGGAACTTGGAATTATGCTAATGATACTAATCTAAATGCAAAAGAAGCTTCATTCATATATCAATTTGAAAAACACTTCAAAAATCATGACTAACTATATGAATGGCAACAACAATTGAAACAAAGAAAACAATTACCTAGTGAAAGTATAGAATAATATGTTGCAGCTATTAGAGAATTAATCAGAAGAGTAGATTTGACTAATACCTACCAAGCTCATTTATGTGTATCTTACTTTATAGTTAGGCTTAGACCAGAAATTAAATTCTTTATCAATCCAACTCATTCTGCAACACTAGAAGAAGCAATTAATGTAGCAACTGCCTATGGCTCTAACTTTCAACAATATAATACTATACCAACTGGCTTACCTTTCTTGCCAACATCATCTGTAGATACTAGAATTAATAAATTAGCAGAGCAGATTGAAAGTATTATCTTAAAGTTAGAAAAACTGACAACTACCAACCAATCTAATAGTCACTTTAATAATAAAAATAATACTATTAGATGCAATAATTGTGGAAAATTTGGTCATATCGCAAGTGAATGCAGAAGTAGAGAAAATAATAACTATAATAATAATAATAACTTTAACAATAATAATAATTTAATAGCAATTTTAATAATGACTTCAGAAATAATATCACCTATTATAACTGTGGAGATACCGGTCATATTGCCAGCAGATATACTAGTTCAAGAAAGAATGAAAATAATCAGAACAACAATAATCATAATAATAATAATAATAATAGAAGAAATAACAATAATAATAACAACAAACAAAATGCTTACTTGAACACTGAAGAGCATTTAAACTCTTAAATGCATCTCTGGAAGATGAGAGTGCATTCACAACTAAAAAACTCTCAATTGATAATATTTAGCTCAAGAAGATATTAATAGAAAATAAGAAAGAAAATAAAAAATTTAACAAACACCTGTAGATACTATGTATGTGAATAGATTTATTAATAATCAACCTTGCAAAATAATAATTGATAGTGGTGCTGTGAGCAATATAATCACTCAACAATTTTTGAAGAAAATAGATTGAAAAATTCAGAAATCTAGTACAATAATTTTAATTGGCATTAATGGTCAAAAAGAAAAAGTATTTGGAGAAGTAATTGACTTACCAGTTACTTTAGGATCTGAATTAATCAAGATCAAAGCATTAATAACTGTGAATGGTAATTATGATCTTATATTAAGAAATAATTAGGCTCACACTTATAAAGCAATTATAAGCTGAATTAAAGGCCTATTACAATTTGAAAATCAGAGAAAACAAATTGAGATACCTATTACATGTTTAGAAAAGTATCATAAAACTGAAGAAGAAGATAATTTATATAATGTTGAAGAAGAAATAGAACTTAAAGTCTTTAATAATAATGGCAAAGAAAAGATACCAGAATGTGCTCATAAAACAGATGCTGATTTTGATCTAAGATATTCAGAATCAAAAGAACTTGTCATTACATCACAAAAAACTGTGATGATAGACTCATATATTGCAATTGAAATATCAAAAGAAATATTTTATCAACTTACTTCTAGATCTTCTTTAGCACGTAAAGTAATAGAAGTAAAAGCTGGTACTGTAGATGCTGGATATACTGGAAATATTAAAGTATTAATTCATAATAATTCTAGTCAGCCATACACTATATAACCTGATGAGAAAATAGCACAAGCAATATTCTTACCACTAGTGAAGATCTCAAAAATTCATTCAGTATCAACTCGTGAAGAACTTGGAAATTCAGAAAGAGGTCAACAAGATTTTGGTTTAACTGGTAGATTCAAAAAAAAAAAAATCTTTAATAGAAGAAGAAAGTGAAGATGAATATGAAGAAGATGATGATATTGACCAAC